CTAGAGCTGGAAGGGACCCCCAAGGGCCATCCAGTCCAGCCCTCTTCTGCCTTGTAGGAAGCCACCATCAGGCAAGAGAGAAGGAGGAGGTGGGTGAGGGGACACCCTAAAGTGTTTATTGTGGGGTGGAGGAAGAGGAGAGAGGTAGTGGGAGCCCCTTCTAGTGCCAAGCAATCTTCCCCCAAAAGGGATCCCTTCTTCCCTAGAACCCAGAGGCTGAGCCAGCCTCCAAAACCTCCTCTGCCTCCCTTTGCCTTCCTCCTCCTCTTCTTCCATCTGCAGGGGATCCTTCCCCCCAAATCTGGAACAAAACTTTCCTGAGAGTACTTCCCCAACAACCATACAAGAAACTATATTTGGTGAGTGAGCAATAATAATAATAATAATAATAATTCATTGTAGGATAGGAAGGGATTTGTGTATTGGGAGGTTTCTTCCCCCTCCCCTTTTGTTCTTTTTACAGTTGTATTTGCATTTGCATTTGCTTTGTTCTCCATTTTTTAACCCCTGTATTTTGAGATGCAACCTTTATCTATTTTATTTTTATTAATTTTATATATATACACTATATACATTTACTCAATCTATTCAAAATATTACCAATATACAAAAAAAACTTCCATAGTTCTTCCAAAGTAAGCATGCTACTTTTTCATTTAAAACAAATCTCAAATTACACTTTTCATTATTTACACCTATTTGTATTAATATCTATATCAATTTTGTTTTCATTTTAATGCATTCAATTATATATATATATATTTCTGTTATTATTTTTCCATACCTCTTAATTCCATATTTCTTTTATATATTTCTCTATTGGAGCCCACTCCACCTCTAATTCCCCAGAATCTTTATTACTTAAAATTCTAGTCAAATGGTTCATCTCTTTCATTTCAATCACTTTTAAAATCCATTCATCATTAGTCGGTATTTCTTCCATTTTCCATTTGTGTGCCAATTGTAGTCTTGCCGCCGATACCATATATAAGATAGGTCTCCAGTACCGTCTTTCTATTATTGGGTCTATTTTATTTGTCATATTCAACAAATATAATTCAGGTTGTAATTCAAATTTGGTATTGAAAATATTTTGTCGAGATGCAACCTTTAGGGTGACATCCTATCTATATGCACTTTTTTTGGAGTAAGGAAAGGCCTGGGGTTGGGCTGGATGACCCTTGGGGGTCTCTTCCAACTCTATAATTCTCTATGTAGAGAGATCTTGCAGCACCTTTGAGACTAGCTGAAAGAAAGAAGTTGGCAGCAGGAGCTTTCCTATGCTTAAGTCTGCTTCCTCAGATGCATTTGGAGATCTTTGCATTCTATAATCCTATGACTGTCAGTCCCTATAAAATAAAAAGGGATCCTCTTGCTGCTTTGTTCTTTTCCATTTCCCCCCATATTAGGCTGAAATGGAGGGGGAAAAATACACTGCGAATCAACATGCTAAATTGAAAATGTATATAACAGATGCATTTGAGTTCTCTGTAACATGTAAATGGTATGTAAAATGTCATGTCAAAATATTTTGGAGGGGACTGTTGGAGTAATTGTGCATGAAACAGA